AATGATGAACAATTAAAAAAGAGCAAATAAGATGAATTACTAAAAAAAGTGACTGAAAATAACTCAAAGATTTAAGAACAGAAATAAAATGAATATCTGTATAAGTGTAATGTTTGATCCTGGTGATTTGAAGCTGTAGTTTTACTTGTAATTAAATATTTTACTGAGGGATCTGATTCTGGAAATACTCGTCCAAAGGGTTGACACTGGGCACAGATGGTAAAACGTCACATTGTTCCCCCACAGCTGCTTCAGAAACTCCTGGATAATCTTCCGCGGTCCTTAAACTAATTATAACACATCTTCATACATGAAGTCCTGTGAGTCACTGGATAATTGCCCGAGACGATCACCGATCCACATCATCCACTCCAGCTGTGCGTAAAAGCGCACAATGAGCGTCCCTGTGGCGCACCGTCAGAGAAGACGCGCTGTTCTCCTCGTTCTCTCTCTCGACATTGAAGAAAGGTCCCAACGTGGAAACCACCTGCACATCTATTTATCTTGCTCAGGCTAAACGGATTCAGCGTTTGATATTTTTCATGCAGAGTGATTTTACGCACGTTTTGCAGTGATGGAGATGGTGAAACTTGTTCTGATACTCGTGCTGCTGCTGCTGACAAATGTTGTCTGTCAAGATGTGGACAACTGGAGAGGAGGCAGAGAAGAGGTGAGACTCCAACATCTGTGCGTTTATTAGAAGTCACAACCGATAAGAATATTGTTATTCATGCTATGAGCTGTTCCTCAAAGATTTCAGGATGGTAAAGTCTGGTAGAGACACAACAATTGTCCATTGTCTTTTTGGTTTAAAGCCTCTTGCAGAGATGATTTACTTTACTCTTTGATTTGAATAAAACAATATTTGTAATAATCAGTTTCTGTTCTGCATCGTTTGTGTCATTGAAGAACAAATGGCCAAACTCTGAAGTCATTCAAGATGTGTTTGTGAGACTGATCAGAAAACCAGGACCACGTCAGTATCTCGGGCTCATGGGGAAGAAAGACTCAGGTAATATTTAATTCCATATAAATGTATAAACTATTTATGTTCAGGTATAATGAGACAGATCATTGATGTATTCCCTTCATATAAACAGGAAAAATTCAGCCAGCACGTAAACGTAAGCAGCCAATTCAATATAACATTCTGCATCATTTTAGATTTTTCAGTGAGATGCACATTTGACCGAAGTCGCTTGTTTTCATTCCTAGGACACAAATTTCAAACCTTCGTGGGTCTGATGGGGAAAAGGAGCTTCGAGGATGAAGGTATGATTTTATTCAACTGCCTCAGAAAAAAAACAGGTGTCATGTCAGTGGAAACCTGCCTGGTAACAGCTGACTTCATCCCTGCAGGATTCATGGGAGCTGCACAGAGGAGCGAGGATTACTGAGGAGAAAACATCTGTTTCTCTACTTGTTCATCTCAGATCAACAACGTGAAGTTTGTGTTTTGAGTTAGTTTCATGAAAATGTCTCGTTGAATAGTTGAGTGTGACACTGTGAGAAACCAGTGACATCTAGTGGCAGAATAATGTGGTGACAAACACTGGATATTAAACAACAGTGATACTTCAATGGTGCATAATTAATGTGACGTAGAATCACTTTACAATAAAACCACCTCACTCCTCATTATCATCACAGGTTTATTAAGTGACTTTGTACAATACAAATGAAAAATAAAATTAAAAATACAGATGGAGTACATAGCCAAAGCAAATCTGGTGTCGACTCTTCAAAACCCACTTTTCATTTTCCGCAGAGCGACTGAAATATTGGTTTTCTCATTCCAACACATCCAGGATGTTATTTGTAAAAGTGTGTATGAATGTGTGTGTTACTTTGTTCATCCAGAGGGGCGGACGCTGCTGTCAAGTCTCTGAGAATTTTCTAAACATACAAAAGAAGTTATGACTTCAGCTGGCTCGGTATATATAAAAATAAACTAAAGTGAAGTATAACACTTATGACATTATAAATGGTGGTCCAAGGCTAGTGGAGATAGCGAAACACAGGATAAAGAAAGCGTTACATGTCAGAAAAAAAAGAAGCTTTAGCCATTAAAAAAAAAATCTATCAAAAAAAAAAAGGCCCAAGGTGCATTTTTTCCTTGTTTTTCTTAAATTCATGTTTTTCAGTTGACACTATGTCATGATCGGCAGTCCCCCTCACGGGAGGAGGTTAACGGGTTACCAGGTACACTCAAAAAGAAAAAAAAGGATTCATTAATGCCTTGTCCTCTTAGTTTAATACACGGTCGACGATCAGGTTAATATTCACTGAATGTTACTGTCACTTTTTCCTGTAAACAAATAGAATTCACCAGAACTTGATTGTACAACAGTCAGACGTAACTCATGGTTTATTTTCTTACCTCCATAAAACTACACATCAGTCGTTTTAAAGCAACCTTGGGAGGGGAAAGAAGAGCAGCAAGTGGGGGCGGGGACATTATTCAGTTATAACAACAACAATAATAACATCAATAATAATAATAATAATAATAATAATAATTAAAATAATATGGGTTTGGCCTTTCTAACGGGTTATTTTAATTGGCTGTTAAGGTAAACACATTCTTCGATGATGATGATGATGAGTCCCGAGGCAGTGAGGGGGGAGGGGCTTCTGTGATGGCGATTCTGACTGTACATGCAGACCGTCTCCACCGCCCACCCCCACACATACCCACAAATACTCCCAGTTACCCCCTCTAGTGGGTGGGAGCAGGAGCACAGCTGTGCTGGCAGACAGAGCGGGAGGAAGAGGAGGAAGAGGAGGAGGGTAAAGTCAGCACCACACACTGGTGTCCTGACCGGCAACGTTGGCAAACAAAAACAACTCGAGTTGGGGTGGACCTGCCAACTTTAAAAGATCTTGCCTTTCTTTTTGTTCTTCTCCAGAGTCCTGAGAGAGGAGGAAAAATAACCAGTCACATGTAAATTCATATTTCAGCTCAAGTAAATGTCATCTATAGCAGCGACTCCTTATATTTTGGCTTGTCCATCAGACCTGGTTCATTTTTTTCTGCGCATATATATATTTTGAAATATTATTTAAGACGGTAAACCTGTTATTTTGTGTATCTCTTTATCTGCCACTCTTACAGAATACATGTTGACAATCCTGAGCGCTAACGGCTTTATGCTCAGAACTGTTTTAGGAACTGTCTTATCCATCACAGAATAACTTCAGGGAGGCATCTGATCAGCCCCCAAATCATTCTGCAACAGGACAACAAGCATAAGCTGGAGTCAAAAAGGACAAGGAGTCTAGCAACAGATGGTGTGAACCCTGCAGAGCCTTGATCTCAACGTGGATCTGGCATCACATGAGGAGACAGAAGACACAGAGACAATCCACGGAAAAATCGAGGCCAAGTACCTTGAAAAACTGTGCAAGTGCTCTGAGGAAAACTATTATCTAAAGTTTGTATGAAGCTAATTGGTACATAAATATATTTTAATGAATCCTCATTTTAGTTTTGGTGCCTGGAGGATAAGATCTAAACAAAGAGTGTTTAATGGTGCATGATACAGGAGTGCAGACACCTGACTGTGGAAGGTGTGAGTGAATTGTACCTGGAGGCCTCAAGTTTCTGCTGCTCCAGGCGCTGATGGGCCTCCCAGTTCGCTCTCTCCTCCTCAAACACACGTCTCTTCTCCTCCAGCTCTTTGTGCTGCGCCTCCAAGTTCTTCTTCATCTGTTCATGACGCCTCTGAAGCTAAAGAGACACAGGGAAGTCGGGGAAATCAGTAAAAACACAAAGCAAAAGTGAAGTATACAGCTTCTAAACAAGGAAATGCCCTCAAACTTTATCCTGCAATAGTATTTCCAAGATTAGCAACAATCACAGTGGTGGGTGTCACTGTTCCTGGGAGAGAAATGAAAAGCTGATTGAAAAGAAAGTCTGTGTGTGTGTACATTTACATGCAAACAGCCTTTATCTAAGATCTGCTTTCAGGGGGAAGTAACCAACAGAACATCCATTCACACAGATCAACAACTCTAACGCAATTAACCACTTAAACACGTCAGCACATGACGAAGGAAGATGTTCAGATAGAGGCGTTACTTCACCTCTGCTTCAGAGTCCTTGAGCTTCTGCACTTTTTCTTTGACTTTCATCTCGAAAACTTGTTCCATCTCCATCTCCATCTTCTTCATCTTAGCTACGTGCTCTCGCCTCTCCTCCTCCATCTGGGCCAGAGGACTCCTGCACAGGGAAGACGTGAGCAAAAACACACACACAGATTTAGACCAGCACCACAGACATACCCTCACTCCGTTCTGCAGACGGATCTTTAATACAGCCCAATATGCACTGATATGAAAATGTTTGTATTAGAGGATAAACAATGAAAAAAATATATGCAATTAAGTTTACATTTCACACAAATAGAAATATGTTTATTTACTATACATTTGGTTGTATTTGTATTTTATTTTTGTCATAAAGTTTATTAATAAACTGTAAAATATAAATCTTCAGTTAGATTTCTTCATCCTGAGGATTTGATAATGACATCTTCAGGAATCATTGCTATATTATGTTTTTAATAGCTCTATAAAGATTGACCAATATATAAGTATCTGAAGTTTTTTCTCTCTAATATTGGTATCAGCCCCAAAAAGGATATTTGTCGGGCTCTCATTGAATTTCACAGCAACTCCTCTTGTAGGCGTTTGCGTACTTTACAGAATAAGAAGAAACAAGCAGGAGGAAAAGCTGCTTCTCTCTGGCTTCTAACAGTGGAACACAGCAGCAGGGGTCATACACCTGAAAATGTGCCAACTGGATCCCAACTCGTTTGGACTGGTCCACTGAACTGCTGAAAATAACATTTACAACCTTTCCTCTTTACACAGCAGCCAGAAAAAAACTGAAATCTGTGCAGTAGTAGAATTTCTACAGCTTTGTAAAAACCTCGAATAGTTTTAAGACATTTAACATTACCCCCCAAATCCCCAAAGAAATACAAACTGTTGGAGCACAGGAGGAAAAACAGAGGAAGAGGTTTGAAGTTTTAGGATCCAACAAGGCTGTAAAAGGAGCAGGAAACCAAACCATTTCTGGAAACCAGAGGAGCTAATGCAGGGATCCTGAAACACTGATTGTTAGTGTGGGAGGTGGGGTAAATGTTAGTGAAGCTCAACAGGACAGTTTGTTGCAGTGTGAGTGTTCAGAGACCCGTCATGAAACATGTTCAGAGGTTACCTGTGATTCTTAAGAGCAGTGACAACAAGAGCCATGTTTTTAAAGTATCATTCATCTGATCGTGATCTGAAGTCCAACCTCTGTGCAGCGACAGGTTTCCCAAGTTACAGTAAAACAGAGGGAAACCATCAGAGGAAATACAAGCTGCTCGATTCTCATTTTCAGGCAGCGAGTCCTTTCAATGACTCAAGGTGCACTGCAGCAGCAGCAGCAGCACAGCCACCATGCAAACACGTTTTTGTCGTATGTGGAAACACTGCAGGTTTTGTAATTACAACATTGTTGTCCTGCATGTCACAAACACAGGTAACACTAAACACCTCATGCACAGGACTCTGTTATTAGTCCAAACAGCAGCAGGCGGAGGCAGCAATACGTTCACCAGTGGAAAGAATTTAAGGAAAAAAATATTAAAGCATCCCCTTCATAACCGTCAAACTAGATTTATGAGATATATGGGTGTGGCAATTCAGTTTCCCCGCCCTCACTGCTCCTGGAAACATCTACTGACAGAGGGAAGATGAGGGAAGCTGCTGAACCAAGTCAACAGGGAAGAGAGAAAACACCCAAATGCAGTCAACGAGGGAGAAGAGAAGAAGATGAGAGAGAAATGAAGATCTTAAACAAGGGTCCGACAAAAAAAAGTGAAAAAATGACCACTTACATTCCTTCAACCGTGTCAACTCTAAAAAAACAAAAACACATACAACCAAACACACACACACACACACGCACACAAAAACACACACATACACAGACACACACACACAGGGCATGCGATGATGAGGTCATGCGCTAAAATAAAACTGCAGTCTATTAGTCGTGTCTGTGACTCAAACTGCTTTTTCACTGCAAGTGGAAAAAACTGAAAGTGTGGAAAAATAACAATGTGGGCTTTGTGAGCTGGGTGTGAAATATATTAGCAGAGTTGTTTAATGTTCAGCTGTGTGTTAGCATCAGCAGCGTGAGGCCTCTGTTCAGATGTAGAGTGGCATGATTTTATGCAAAGTACAGTAGTTAAGTGATGAGTGAACTAAAACTAAAGACGGTTTGTCAAACATCACAAACGAAGGACAAATGGTGAATGGATGAACTCCCAACTTTGTCTGTCCTGTTACCTGGAACCTAAATGCTTAAAGTAAAATGTTAATAAATTATTTGTACGGCAAATTAGTTTTCCGCCATAACTTCAAACAAGCAGAACGACGGCCATGTTGCTTTCACAAATATATTCACCTCAGTTGAACAGATGCAACTGACCAAAAACATGGTCAGCTTTAAGCCCATAACACTTATGACAGTTCAGAGACTCTGTTCTATTCTATACAACTTAAGTTGCAGGTGAAATTAATGTCAATAACTTATTTACTTGTCAGTAATTCAGATGTTAGCGTCTCTAACGTATTCTGTGCAGGACTTACTTGGTGGACAGTTGTCCTTTAGCCCTGTTGTTGTCGACTCCGTTGTAGGTGACAGCGGCCAGCTTCCTGCTGCGGTAGTTCTCATAGTGGACGTTGTTTGTCACGTCCTTCAGGTCCTGCATGTGTGTTCTGGCAATGGCAGAGAAAGAATTCTAAATATTCTCCCTGAGAAATGTTTAAACTGATGATTCAGCTTCGTCTATCACTACCTGGTGGAATACAGTGTTAGGTGTAAATGATACTTGCGTCTCTATGTATTTTTCAGTACCTGATGAGCATATCCCTGAGGATGGTGAAGTCGCAGTGGTCACTATTTTCAACTAGAAGGGGAAAAAAAAAGTTAAGTCAAGTATCAGGTAAAAACAAGAAACCCTGTTTTTACCTCAGATACCAAGAAAGCATTTAATCAAGTATTTTTAATGTGGTGT